CCCACCTCCCCCTCTCCCATGTCCCCTCGGAACTGTCAGTCCCATTGTTTTCTCCTCCAGGTTGTTCATCCAGCCTGCCCTATCCAGACAGACCTGCGGAGACAACAACATGCACAAAAACAAGACAGAGCAAAATCAAGCAACAGTGTACAACAGAACAGCAACAACATCAAGCCACTGATGAAGAACAAATTAAAACATACCAAGAAAGAAAAGTTAAGCTTTAGAAAATTTTACAAGTAATTATCAACCACTTATTAGTCAACCTTATGCCCCATTCATTATATTTTTGTTTCTTGCTAGCAAATAAAGTTGTATGATGATTTCTTACATACAGGCACTGTTTTAAGGGTTTGACACATTGTTAACACATTTTATTTTCTCACAACAAACCCAGGTGTATTTATCTGCATATTACAAAGGAGCACACTGAGAGACAAATAATTTGGGTAGGTGTACAGATCTACTAGGTGGCATAACCAGGTCAAGTCTTAATGACTGAGTCCCTAAATACTGCTTTGTGCTATTCATCATAAACTTTGCTGAACAATAGCCAAACAAAACTTGCCATCAAGTCATAGGGATTCTGTAGGGCAGAGTAGAATTGCCCCTTTGGGTTTCAGTGGCTGTAAATCAACATAAAGTCTCATCTTCCTCCAATGGGGCAGCTTGTAGGTTCTAACTGCTGACTTTGTAGTTAGTAGTCCAACATGTAACCCACTCTGCCACCTGGGCTGTAGTTTTCAATACTGACTATGCAGTTTAGGGAGAAAAACGTATGATTGAGCAAGTGGTAATCATAGGTTTAATGAGTATTAGGAAAACGGAAATATAATTATGAATATACATATAGTTAAACCTATAATGCTTTATAAAAGTAACCTCAACCTAGGTTTGGAGAATTTGAAACTGCTAGTGTAAATCAGCATCTCAGACTTCTAGAAAAGGTTGGTGTACAGTCTTTGACTCTGGAGGTTTCATTCTATTCCTGTTATTTTTGAAGAAAAAGAGAAGGCATGGAACTTTTTAATGACGGATAATTGTGAAACCCACATTTTATTACATTGAAATTGAATGAAATTATATATTTTTTACTTTATTCTGTTTGTTTTTATTGTTGACTGTAAAATAATAGCAGCAGAAAACCTTAGCATTTAACTATGAAACCATTGTCAGTTTAATAATGATGTTTACTTTTCCTGTTGTGTTATTATATAGTAATTTTGTAATCTTACTAGTAATTATTAATTGAATGGGGTATTCACGTTTTCATTTCTACCCTGTAAGGGATTGTTTATATTTTCAATGCTGATGTCATAGCAAACGAATGAATGCCAGGGGACTTCAAGAAATTCATTGAAAAATTCCATTATCATTTAATACCATTTTTTCACACTTTTTAAAGCCCCTTTCTTAGTAATTCTTCCAGTCTACAATTAACTCTTTATGAAATGGTTTCTTTATTCATTCATGTTTTCTATTGTTTCTTTTTAGTTCTGCGCTTTTAAAAATTAATTTTCAAACTAAAATTTACCTACCGTGCAATGCAAAAATCGTAGCTATGCATTCAGTGTGTTTTTACCTGGTGACACTTGGGGTAAGCTTGGAAAGCACAGGACTGCTGTCAGGTCAGTGTTTTAAAACAATCAGTAGCTTTGTGAGAGAAAGAGGGAGCTATCCACTCCTATAAAGATTGATTGCTTTAAACATCATACATAAGGTAACTATGAGTTGGAATCTACCCAAGGGCACTAGATTTGGGTACATATAGTTAACGCTTCCAACAAAATGGAGAACATTTCCATCATTCTGGAAACTTCCTTCATGCTACCTTCCAGTTAGTTTCCATAGGCAACCGTTGTAAGCAACCATTGTTCCGGTTTACATCACCTTAGCTTGATTTTGTTGATACTTGAAATTTATATATGAGGAAGCTTCAAAGGGTTCCTAGAAAAGTGGGATTGAACTTTCTTCAGAAATTTTGAAGCCCTTGCATATAGTCAGTCATATCCTATGTACTCTCTCATGTCTGGCTTCTTTCACTCAAAATAATTTTGTATTTAATCCTTGTTGTTGAATATATCTGTAGTTCGTTCTTTTTAAGTGATGAGTAACAGTAAATTGTTTGGTGGTGCAGTAGTTAAACCTTGGGCTATTAAGCAAAAGGTCAGTGGTTTGAAGCTACAAGCTGTTCTGGAGGAGAAATTACTTGACAATCTGCTCCCAAGAAAAGTATAGTTCAGGAAACCCTCAGGGGCAGGTAGTTCTCTGTCACACTGGATTTCTGTGAGTAGGAATTGACAGCACACAATAACATCATTCAATTGTAAAAATTGACCACAATTTATTCAGTGTATAGTTGGACATTGAGTTGTTTTTGATTTGAGGTTATTGTAAATAAAGTTGTGTTGTTTATTTTTCTTAATTTGGTGGTGTTGGTGGTGGGGCTCTTAAATATTAGGAGCTTCAAAAGTTCATAGAAAAAATAGAATGAAAAGATCATAGAATTTTCTCACTAACTTTTGAAAGCCTGTTCACATTTATTAGTATTGGCTTCTTACTACATTTGGTGGTGCCCAGAAAAAAAATACTATACTATGTATAATGTCTATTGAAATTGATGTAAATTATTTCCCAGTGTATGGTCCATCTTGGTTAATGTTGCAAAAGGAATCTATATTCTACAGTTAGCTGCAGTGTTTTAAAGATGCCATTTGCAGCAAGGCAGTCATATGGGTCTATTGATTCTTACTCTGTCTAGCTTTTTCAGTTACTGTGGAAGGGGTAGTAAGTTTTTCAGTTATGATTTTATATTAATTTGTCCTTTAAATCTATATACTTTTGCTTCATGTAATTTGAAACTTTATTAAGTACCACGTTTATGATTGTTTTATCTTCCCAACATTCCCTTTTATGATTATGCAATGTCCCTCTATCTCGGTAAAAGCTGTTTTCTTAATATTTGCTTCATCTCATATTACTGCAGCAACTCAGGCTTTCTTATACTTAACTTTTGCATGACTTGCCTCTTACCATTCTTTTACTTCAAACTATCATGTGTTATATTTGCATTACATCTTGGACATACTTATAACTGAATGTTGCATTTTATAAACTCAGTTGTGTAGACGTTGCCTCTTAGAATATTTAAGTGCATTTGATTTAATAATTGATATTATTGGATGTAAGTCTATCATTTTGTTAATTGTGTTTTATTTTTCCTGTATCTGTTTTTCCCCAAACCATTTTATTAGGACATAATCCAGACATCATACTATTCAATAGTTCAGTCATATCAAGATGTGTTGTACAGTCACTGCCACCATCGATTTAAAAACATTTTTTTCCTTCTTTTACTCTTTGATATCACCTCCCTGTTGCCCCACAAACACTTCCTGCCATATCCCCCAGGAACCCTTCATCTAGTTATCGTCTCTAGATTCACCACCCTGGGTTTCCGTTTTGTCCTTTTTGTTGTTGCTGTTCCTAGTTTCTTCCTGCAGATCTGAGTTTCTCTCTGGTATCATTTCCTTCAACAACGCTTACTTACAGTGCAAGCTTCACTGGCAGCAAATTCTCAAGATGTGCACTTCACCTTTATTTTTGAAGGTCATTTTTCTGGATATAGAATTCTAGGTTCCTTTGGCTTTTGGAACTTGTTCATTGTTATCTGGCTCTGTGTTGCTTTGCAGGGACGTATGTGTCATTTGTGGTGGTGGTCTTTTTTTGGGGAGAGGGGGTAATGCCTGTTTCCCCCCTCTGATTTCAGGTTTTTCTCTGTATTTAGTTTTTGGCAGTTTGATTCTAGTATACCAATGTGTGAGTTTCTATGCATTTATCTTGTTTATGGCTTGTTGACCTTCTAGCACCTGTTAAGTTCTATTTCTCCAAGTTGACATGCCAAACTTGCTCCTAGTGTTCTTCAGTTAGGGTAATATGTATCAATCCTTTTTACCATCTCTGATCTGGTTTTAAGCCAGATTTATTTGAAATGTTTCATTTTTTTTAGTTCTAGACTTTTTTTTTAGTTCTAGAATTTCTAATCCATTCATATTTATTTCTCTATTGAGGTTCCTATTTCTGTTCTCTCATTTTGATCATCTTTTCCTTTAAGTGCTTAAGCACTTATGAAAGCTATTTAAAATACCTTTTGGTGTCTTTTGGCCACTTGACCATGAATCACATTGCCTTGCTTTATTGCTTGATTTAAATTTTGATTGTATGACGGACATCGCACGGTGGTATGTTGTAGGACTAGATCCTATTACCTTCCTCTGAATAATGTTGCTTTTTGTTTCATCAGGATTTTGAGTTACTGATGGATCACATCGAGGAAGGAATTGTTTCAGCTTTGTCCTTAGTACTAAGGCATCTTTCTGAGTTCCAGGACATAGTTTTTACCCGTGAGGTTTGACCCTGCTCCAGTTTCAGTGGAAAGCCATCCAACTTTGTAGAGTTCAAACTTGCAAACTTGCAACCGTCTCTGTGCAGTGGCTGTGGCTACAATCTCTGTTCAGCTCTTTCGTCTTTCTCTCTGGACTTCCACACATATGGGACTTTGAGACTATCTTCCTCACTTATGAGTTATGAGAGCTTTGTTTTCTGATGACAGACTAGTTAGAGTCTAGCTCTCAACTTTAGTTCTGGCCGTCTGCTTCATGGTGAAGAATGTCTTCTGAGTAAAAGGTGCATAAATGTAGGTCTTTTTCAAGGTGTGAATTTCTTTACATTTGTGCCTGCTTTGGACTGCTCTTCAGTACCTGTTTTAAATGGTTGGTTTTTATATTTTGTTCTGTTCCATCATTACTAGAATTGGAATGTTAAATATTTATTTATTTTTACATGTTCACTGGTTAATATATTTCTAAGTTATTGTTGATTGAATTTTATCTTTATTCTTAGATATGAAGAGAAGGCCACGAAAGAGGTGGAGCGATACAATAGGCAAATGAAGAAAGCCACTGAACAGGAGTCACAAGTATCTTTAAAAGATGGCAGGAAAAAGGTGAAACCAACCAGTGCATGGAATTTGGCCCAGAAACACAAGTTGAAAACTTCATTATCTAATCAGCCAAAACTTGATGACCTCTTTCAGTCCCAAATTGTTAAAAAAAAGACCCCAAATATTAAAATAACACAGATCCCCTTTTCTATGAAAAACTTAAAGATAAATCTCAAGAAACATAAATTTGACTTAGAAAATACGGATGAACTTTGCTTGATCCACAATCTTAAGCTTCCTGATGCCTGGGTAATTGCATCTAAAAAAGAAGTAATGTTATTAAATCCATATAGGATGGAAGAAGCCCTGCTGTTTAAAAGACTTCTTGAGAATCATAAACTTGCTGCTGAGCCACTGGAAAAGCCAATTGTACTAACAGAAAGGTACAGTGAAATAATACAAGTTTTCTGTTTTATTAATCTAGAAACAATGTATGAATAGTCCACACTAGATAAAAAGTATTGTCTAAGAGGGGAGAATGGTTTTTACTCAAATCTTTGAAAAAACTAGATTTCTAATTATAATGGAATTAACTGCTTTATGTGAATGATCTTAGAATATTCTCAGTTAGGGATTGGCACTTGCAAGCCATCTGTGGCACTTTCAGTATGTATTTGTGCCTCTGAGGTAAAATTGAAAATGAAAATAAAACTATCAGAGTTTTATTTATAAAATTTTTAAAGGATTTTATTATTCAGATAATGGTCCTTTCATTTGTTGGTAAAAATATATTTATGACTTCCAAATAATTTTAAAATTGTCTTGAGGGACAGATTAGCTCTTCTGACTCAAAAGTTTGCCAACCCGTTCTGGATATGGGTCGTCTTGGGACTATGAACAAGAACCGTGTTTTTAAGAATTTTAGGTAAATCAGAACAGGGGCAAACAGTACTTATGTAGCCTTACTTTAGTCGATGAAAAGGCTTGAAGCCCATTAGTGATTTAAAGCCTCCCACTTGAAGGATGGGCCAGATATGAGGTGATGAGGAATTTGTTCCAAATAGGGGTTGCTTCATAACAGTAAAGGGCTAGCAGGACCTTCCCCAAAGTGGTGTTTGCAGTTCACATCTGTAATTGATACATAGTAAGCACAAGTCTCCCCTATCCATTAGTGATTTCCCTAGGTAAATGATGACATTCGGCTGCTATGACACCCAAGTGTCATGGCAAAACTCAATTTTGTTTTAACATTTTCAAACATATACTAAAATAGACAGCACCTACAGTGAGTACCTTTATCAACTGTTAGACAGATTTTGCTACACTTGCTTCATTTGCTCTATTTATATCCATATATTTTTCCATTGGTAAAGAATTTTAGAGCAATTATCATTTTTACTACATATATCTTGAAAATGACTATTTCCTTTACTAATGTCTTTCATACCATACACAATAATCCCTTGGGATTGTTTTCAGTTGTCTCAGAAATATCCTTATATTTTAAATTTTTAAAAATTCTGTTGATATCTCAGCAAGATCCCAACATTACATTTGTTTATGTCTCTTAACCTTATTTTAGCTTAGCAGGCTTGAATAGATTTAGATTGTACTTTCTGGCAAAATAGCTTAGTAGGTGGTGCTATGTGCTTTGTATTTCATCTTGCCAAAATGCATTTATCAGTGGGTTCAGTTGATGACAGCCTGACCCTTCCACCTGAGAGCTCCCCATCAATCTTTCCATCTAATGGTTTCATTGGTAATTTTTGTCTAAAATGTCTTATTACAAGTTAACAAATGAGGTATTTCCTTTTATATTCTACTCATTGCTTTCTATAAGAATGAGTAACTGATGACAAGTATATTAACATTAAAATATTTCACATATGTTTAAGAAGATTAAAAAAAAACCAACCTGAAGTTAAAAAGAATTTGTTCTCTCTTTCATCATTCGATTACTCGGTTTTAGATAGGGCCAGACCCAGAAAAGCATTTAGTAGGCTGTTTTTCAAATAAAGGCAACAGTAACCCTAACCTTAAGTATAGTAATCTTACTAAAAATACAGGATATTTCATGTTACCAAGATTGACTTGGGAAATTGTCAAAGGAAGGATAAAGCAGTGCTATGGACTGTTTTAAAACAGCTCAAAAATCAGAAACTACTTCTTCCTCAAAAAAAGTTGGGCCATAACTGAATTTTTAAACTTGATTTCTGTTTCAACTAAATTTTTGAATTTTCCCTTACATCTTAAATACATTTTTACACTTTTCAAAATTTTAGGTTTTAACAATATATTTATAAGTGAGATATTGTTACTAAAAAAACATTATTTGGGACCCCAGACTAGCCTGAAAATAAATTTCTTCATTGAACATGGACAGCAACAAAGCTTGATCCAAATTTGTTTTCCCCTCTTCCAAATTACGATATTACCATTACAGTTTTAAGTTTTTCAAAACTTGAGTTACCGGCTGTCTCAGTGTTGGCAGGGTAATATGGGTTGATTCAATTTTCCCCCCAGAATTCTAATTTGTGTACCTTACTTCTGAATGAAGTAATTTAGAAATCTATGAAATAAAAAAGTACAGGATAATAATAGCAATGTTGTTGTCAAGTGCCAGTGAGTCAATTCTGGCTTGTGCCTAGTGTGTACGACAGATGGAAACACTTCCTGGTGCTGTGCCATTTTCACCGTTGTTGTCCATTGTTCCAACCACAGTGTTGATCCATTTCATTGATGGTCGTCCTCTTTTTTGCTGTCCTTCCACTTTACCATTCATTATGTCCTTCTCCAGAGACTGACCCCTCTGATACATTTCCAGTGCACACGACTCACCATCCTCACTTCAAAAGAACAGACGTTCTGATTGTACTCTTCTGACACAGATTTGTTCCTTCTGGTTGTCCATGGTATATTTAATATTCTTCACCAACAGCATAATTCAGAGGCATTGATTATTCTTCAGTCTTACTTATTCATGGTCCACCTGTTGCATATATATGAGGTTACTGAAAATAACAGTAGCAATGGATAATGCTTATTGAGCACTTAGTATATGATACAAATTTTGTTAAGCCCTTTGATTTCTTGATTTTGTCTTCAGAGAAATCTTAAGATATAAGTTCAATTGCCTATATTTTATAGATGAAGAAACTGAAACAGAATGTTTAAGCACCTTTCCTGGGCCTACATAACCAGCAAATAAATGGTAGGGCCAATATTTAAACTTAGACTATCTAACTCAGTGGTTCTCAACCTTTCTAATGCCGCGACCCTTTAATACAATTCCTCATGTTGTGGTGACCTCCCAACCATACAATTATTTTCGTTGCTACTTCATAACTGTCATTTTGCTACTGTTATGAATCGTCATGTAAATATCTGATATGCAGGGTGTATTTTCATTGTTACAAATTGAACATAATTAAAGCATAGTGATTAATCACAATATTAATTATATATTATGAAATGTAAGTGGGCATATCTGCATGTGGGTGGACCGCCTGGAGACAGCTAGAGGAGTGGTGTTTCAGCTCCTAAGACCATCAGAAATAAGTGTTTTCCAATGGTCTTAGGCAACCCCTATGAAAGGGTCATTCCACCCCCAAAGGGGTCACGACCCACAGGTTGAGAACCACTGGTCTAACTCCAGAGACTACACCATTCATTGCTATTTTATATCACCAATGCCAACATCACCACCAACTCTTACATAGACCAGCAGATTATATCTTTCATATAGCCAAAGATCTCTGATTTTAAGCAAATCCACCATATATCTGTTCACTCTTTAAAAGGAGAGAGTTATAATAAAGAAATAGCATCTAATTATCCTGCATTACAACATAGAACAGTGCTTTGGTTCTAGGACATATAGGAACTCAGATACTCATTAAATAAGTATAAAAACAGAAACCACCCACATGTCAAGCACACAATACCCAGCTTCTTGCAATGATTTGTGATGTGAGAAAGAATTCCCAAGCTTAGATCCAAGGTGGAAAGGTTGATTTGTGCCCCAGACATCCTTGGTTGCCTCAAATTTTGTTTAGGGCCCAGACCATTCAACCATTTCATATGCCACCTTTGACAAACATGCCATGCCTGCAATAAACTGAAGGAGATTCTTCCCCACTCCATATTGCTAAAATTGTTAAGTCTTAGCCAAAAATTAATAGTCTTATCATTTTGTAATTTAAGCTACCTTGACTAGCAAGTGAAAATTAAGTAGACTTAGAAATGTCTGTTTTAAAGGTATAAAATGACATTTATAAATCAACTTTTCATGTCAGGAGTTCATTTCTTGATTTTACATTTACTTTGTGATAATTCTAGAAATTGAGACTGTCTTTTAAATCTTTTCTTCCTTGTGTGCACTGTAGGCAATCGGCTGTCTATAAAATTAAGAGAAAGGTGAAGAGGGCTACTTGATTTCTTTGTATTTCAGTCAGTAGTTCTCACATTTTATGAAGATTCCTTGGGTTAATTTTCCCCATATCTTGTTATTTCCTTTTACTTATTTAATAAGTTAAAGGGCCATAATTTCTTTTTCAGTCTTCTTAATGGATCTCATTATTTAGAGGTTTTATGTAAAATGACCACATATAACCAAGGATACAGTGCCTCAACTTACCTGTCTGATCCTCGTCTAACAGCAAATGGATTCAAGATTAAAATGATACCAGGTATGATAACGTGGTTTAATTATTTCTTGAGTTGGAAAAATAAGTCTTTTCTAAGAGTTACATTTAAGCTTTATAATTTACAGGCAATAATACAGACATTTTTGTTTCACCAAAAATATATTGTCAGCTGTGAAAATCCTGTTTATGAAACAAGCAAGTGGGGAGGTGAGTGTGGGAGACCTGGTAGGGCATGATCAAGGGGAATGTAACAAAGAGGAAGTGCTGAAATCCTGGTGGGGACTGAGCATGATAGTGGGACAGGAGG